AAAACTGATATAAAATGGACTCTCTACAGTCTAGAAGCCACATTCCCCATGTGCAACCTTCCTCCCAGGTGTTCTGGAGATGTTGTGACCTCACAGATGCAAGTAAGGATTTCATGAACAGAGGATGTATTGAAATCTCCATTATGGCCACAGTTAACAACGTAGAAGTGAAGAACCTTTTTCTTACCTTTGACAAGAAGTTCGAACTCAAGAACTTTGTAATCCTTTCCCGAAAACACTTCACAAGTGTACACCCCCGCGTCCCCTTTCTGCACATCTGTGATGATCAGCTGCACCTTCTTATCACTGGATTCTAATCTGTATTTTGCACTTGTATTCTCCTTCCCAGTTTCTTTGTAGTAAATCTGAGTCTCTCCGTGCTTCCAGGTCACAATGTCTGCTTGAGGGTAATTGTGCTGGCAGTCCAGTCGTCCTTCTCCCTGAACGGCTACTTCCTGTTTTATTACTGCAAAATAAGGGAAAAGCTTGTACAGAAAACGGAAGTCACCCTTCTCACCAGGAAGCCTCTCCTGGTGACGCTTGCAACCGGTAAACATCTGCTTTACACTCGAGAGTCCCTTTAAAATAAGCAACCGAAGGCTTGAAATTGAAATTGCCGGGGTGTCAGACTGTGCTTCGTCAAGCTTCACCTGCACGCAATTTTCTGCAGATGAGTTTCCACCCGCACTGGCTGCACTGGTGAGTGGTGGGATCAAGAAACGAGATAGTGAGCACTTTGCCTAGTTGTTCCCGTGCAGTTCTCAGGAACAGCTATTTCAGGCGCTGCTCTGTGCGCCCGGACTCCGGATCGAGGAAGGGGGGTGTTGGTGGACGGATGTGCAACATGAAAGGCAAGGAAGCAGGTGCTGGGGAGCACATTCCCTTTGCCGGCATGCGAGCTCAGCGCATTTAAGCATTAGAGGCAGACAGCTCTGCTAAAAAAAAAATAATCACAAACTCTTTAAATTGTGTATTAAATTGTGGCAGTGTTATTTAGATTTAGAAGAAATTCGATTTCCACAGCTTCCGCAGGTTTTCCATGGTTCCCCCATGTTTACACAATGTATTGATTTCGCTTTCCAATAGCACGTACAATCCCCACCTTTGCTACAACCTACTGCGATGCCCTGCTCTTCCGTCAGGACGTGTTCCGAAAGCCATGTCGAAGATCCCCAGACTGAAAAGCCTCCTACGGTATGTACCTCCCACGCTAGCAAATCAAACAGACACCTTGATGCAACCGTTTGCCTGAATTCCCCTGGTCTGATTTCGCTGGAAGGCTACTGAACCACATCCTCACGCCTGCTGCCAAATCTAACGTCATTCTTACTTCTTAGCGCTGCTTCGCATCAAAGCGGAATGTGGAAATGACTTCTTCCAACGCCTGCTCCTCACTGAATTTGTTAAAGGGGTATTGAGAATTGTACTTTAAATCTGGAAATGTCCCCCATAACGTACACACAGCAGAACAAAAATATCCCACAGAATCCATCCTGATGAACAGCAACTGTATCTTTAATGTTGTGACATGATGTGATGCCAACAGGTTGATTTTCTACCTGGGGAGTAAACCTTTATACACTGCAGAAATGCTCCTGGAATAAAAAACTAACAGGGTAGTTAAATTTTCAATTCACATATTTTATATTTTACTTTCGGTTGATGAAAGCCATCAAATAAAAATGAAGTTCCAAACAGGTTCGTCAGCTACACTCAAATGATTCAGATCTGCAGCTCTTTAGCTTGTACAAGGACTCCTGGAGAATTAGCCACCCATCATCATCAGAAAGGTGGTCACAGCAACAGGGTGCTTGTCCTGGAAGCACAGGGCACAAGGTGGCCCTCCACTCTGGTCCATCAGAGGGCCCACACACACAGGGACAGAGAAGAGGTGCCAAATTCAAGTTTAATTAAGGAACCAGGTGGAAACAAACCCAGAGCAACAAGAAGCAAAACCACACAGAAGGGGACCGAGCGCACAGCAGAACACAAGACCAGAGAGCCATGAGGTAACAACGCTAACATCCATGCCACCCCAGAACACGCCTGTTGGAAGCATTAAAAAGCTGCGCAGCGGGGCTCAGCAGTGACAGATGAAGCCTACGGGTATTCCGAGATTTTACAAGCCAAGAGGAGAAAACACTGGTGTGTCTGACGGAGTGGAGGCTGAAGAGAGTGGAAATGACAAAAGCCTCACTTGCCTGCTGTGCAGAGGCTGATGGGCACTACCAAAAGGGCCACAACGATGGTTCTGGTCGTCATAACGGAGCTGAAAGACAGTAACAGAGATATTAATGGTCCCTATTAACACTTTCCTTTCATTTCCTCCGTTGTGCTCTTCAAACGGTTGGCATTCAAACGATTCCCAGAGCCCTGTTAAGGCTCACTCCCCAGAACCTCAGCACCCAAAGCGCAGCTCAACATCGTTCGCCAAAAACACGTATTAAACAGGAAGAACCAGAGGTTTCACTCATCAAGCTAAACTGCTAACCAAGGTTTTGTAAAATCCCCTGAACTGTTTCACTTTGTGGTTCAGCTTCCAGGCAGCCCGCTGTCGTGCAGAAGGCTGAGCTCGGGGAGATGGTGCTGAATAGTTTCGATATCCCAGTGGGGGTCTGGCTGCTGTTTCTCACAGCTCAGTGCAGCACAGCAGTGTGGAAGACTGGCGGGATGTGATTAGCAACTTGGCTGAATTTAAATTGCCCTCCCCCAGGGACGAATAAAGTATTTTGAATTGAATTGAAATCTGCAAAACAAGTCAGCCGAATGGCTGCTTCTCCTTTCTCATGTTGTAATTCCTGGGTTTGGTGTAAACAAGAACTGTTAGACCTTGTGGGGAAATACACAACAACAACAACAACAACACTGTACCTTTAAAATAATTATAGGACTCGGCAGCACACACTGTACCACCACCGCAGCAATTTCGACCCCCAAGCTACTGTATAATAAGGCTCTTCTCTTCCTGCCTCCTGTTCACAAGGTACTAACGCAACAAAGACAGCCAGGGATGAATCTGAAAACATTAAACCCTTTGAGACGACGGGCTAAGAGAAATACAGCGAAGTTTACCTTGCACATCTGTAACAACAGCGAAACCACCAAAAGGAGAACTCTGAAAAGCCTGAGTCACCCCTAGAATCACGGTATCCAAAGAGAAGAAAATTATTTGCAATCGCGATTAAAGGTCTGTTTACACAATCCAAGAACTACCACCAAAGCATGGAGAGAAGCACCTTGAATTGCTCCTGTATAAGCGACCCGAATAACTGAGCCTGCATTTTCGACACGTGTTCGTGTGTCGGGAAAGGGACGAGCCCCGACCCGCAGCGCGGAAATTTTGTTTCGCCCCGAAGACATGGCGTGTGGGCAGCACGGCAACCTCAGCACCTTCGCTCGCACGCTGCTACCGCGAAGAAAACATGAAATTTAAACCCTCACACCTGGAGAAGGCTCCACGGCCGAAACGTTGTGTTTCTTTTCAGCATGGAATAAACCTATTACTTGTTCCTTTGCAGCCTACGCATGCTGACGCAGCTACCCACCTGAACTACATACAATTTAAATTTCAGGCTCTGTTCACACCCCGACACATCTCGGGTATTTGGCCCCCGAATGAGAAAGGGATAGAAGGTTTTGCGTGAAAAACGCATCGCTAGGTAAAAAAGTACAGAGTGGAACAAAAGTAAGCCTATAGTCCGATTTATCTATCAGACTTAGTGTATTATCTAGATCTCTATCAATATGAGTCATCAGCAGGGTTACATCGCAGTATACAGCGAATCGGGTGGCCGGGGTTGTACCATTGAATTGAGAGTGCGTAACCTTGTATTTTAAATTCGCTTAACTGCCTCTTGGCAAAAGCAAAGTGCGGCGACTTCATGCAAACAGGCATATTGTTATTGGTATTAAGAATAACGATGATTCTTCTTTTTACACGTTAAACCTCTGCCTGCAGCCCTCAGTTTCACAATCTTTCGTTATCCGGGAAGAATGGATACTCAAAATCCCCGGCGTAGTAGTGAAATGGCAAAGCAGGAATCTGCTCGGAACAGATGATATAGGAAATCAGATTTTATGGGGAAAAAAATACTTCAGGAGTAATGGCGAATGTTACAGATGTTAACCCATACTGCATTGTATGAGGCAACACGTTTGGGCAAAACAACGAATTAATAACTTATATGGGAAGAGATGTTCCATCGTACCGGGAGCACGAAACACCACGCCCGAACAAAACAACTCCATAAAAGCTCGTCTGTTTGTAATGCTCTCTCACCGCGGTTCTCCAAACTAATCGGCATCTTTACTTAAATCTTGTATCGTTCTGTAACCCTCTTGGCGCTACTCAGATGTCTACGTTAACGAAATATTAAACCCCACCCTCAAACGATTTGTACTAATAGTAAAATAAATCCTGTGACAAAGGTCTTGTGGTCCACTGGAACAGCTGTTCAAAATTAATGTTCCCGGAGAGAGTCGCTGCAGTAGCCCCACGACTGTGAATATTTACAAACAAGGACTTGGGATACTGTAACTATCTTACATAAGCTGAACTACAGTACGTGTTACAGTTTTTTTCCCCAGCAGTGGAACACAAAGCACAGTAATTGCGAACTACTGCAGATAATTCATCCCAAGTGGATACAAAATATCACGGTTGCTCTTAACACGCAAAACCCCTCGTGGGAACGACAATCAAACGCAAACTCAACGGAAAAACGTTGCTATTTTTTACCTTCGGTGTCTTTCTTAAATAATAATGCTCCTAAGCGGCTTGCGTCCAGCGACAGCCCGCTATCCAGTCCACCCGGCGAAAAGAGCAGGCAATTTCACTGCGCAGCGCAAAGCGAGACAGTAACAGGAAGCAAACTACACTGGGCGGTCGCAGTCCCTGCTCTTACAGAAGATGGAAATGTGCTGTTTTGTGCATCACGAGGAGTATACAATAAGTCACCAGATCTAACAAAAGAGCCAACTGAAACTTATTTTTATTTGCTGTAAAATTATTCATTATGAATAGAGCCGCGGTCCAGGACAGAAACTGTTTCTTGGGTTTTGCGACTGCCGACTTTTTAAGGCATAGGCTCATGCATTCAAGTTTTCTATTTGGGGAATATGTTTTGTATATTATACCAGGGTAGGTAATTGGTATCACCCCTGTACCATTCAGGTGTGCTGCCTGAAACGTAACCAGCTGTGTCTCCGCAGGAAGAAAAGGGCTGACTGTGGGCGTCGGATGCATCTTCTCACCTGTCTGTACACGTCTGGCTGTCATCAACTTGACAACAAGTAGGAGCTGTTTAGTCAGGCGTAATGATAAACAAGTGTTGAAGGGACTGTGTAAAAGTCCTGTGTGCGGAAGTTCTTGAAAAACAGGACTGACCAAAGCAGATCGATGATAATAATAATAATAGCTTACACTTATATAGCGCTTTCTGGACACTCCACTCAAAGCGCTTTACAGGTAATGGGGATCCCCTGCACCACCAGCAGTGTGCAGCCCCACCTGGATGATGCAACGGCAGCCATAGTGCACCAGAACACTCACCACACACCAGCTCTCAGTGGGGAGGAGAGCAGAGTAATGAAGCCAATTCATAGATGGGGATTAGTAGGAGGCCATGATTGGTAAGGGCCAATGGGAAATATGGCCAGGACGCCGGGGTTACACCCCTACTCTTTTCAATAAATGCACTGGGATTTTTAATGACCACAGAGAGTCAGGACCTTGGTTTTACATCTCATCCGAAGGACGGCGCCTGTTTACAGTATAGTGTACCTACACTATACTGGGGCATTAGGACCCACATGGACTGCAGGGTGAGCTCCCCCTGCTGGCCCCACTAACACCTCTTCCAGCAGCAACCTTAGTTTTTCCCAGGAGTCTCCCATCCAGGTACTGACCCGGCTCACACCTGCTGAGCTTCAGAGGGTTGTTAGTTGTGAGTTGCAGGGTGATATGGCTATAACCTATAATAATAGGTTGTGTCACCAACAAGAGGAGCATATCAGCTGTATTGTTGCTGGATGCTCCATGCCAGTGCTGAAAGAATATACCCATCGGCACAACAGAATAACTAGCTACTGTACCTGCACTGGTCAGTGCTGCAGGAGCTTGGCCTACCAGCGCCTGATCACTGGTACGATGACCAGCCTGAAAAAGTGACGTTTTCTCATCGATGTAGCTGCTCCAGGTGACGCCAATGTCTGTCTTAAGGAGGTCGAACAATTAAGCAGATGCAAGGACCTTGAGGTGGAGGGATCGCCCATGTGGGACTCAAAGGCACGTGCGATCCCAGTCGGAGCTCTTGGAGCTCCTCGAGTCGGATTTTGGAAGCGAGTGCGGCTCAGGTGCAGAAGATCGCTCTCCTCATGGGAACAGCCCACATACTCCGCCAAGTCCTGACCATCGGACAATAGCAGGACCCGAGGAACCCGGCAGATCCCCGGTCAATAGCAACCGGCAGAAAAGCTGAGAAGATAGAACTCTTATAATAATAATACTAATAATAATAAGTGCAATTCCAAACCCAAAGGTGTACATAGTGTTTAAGAAAAAAAAAGTACAATGAACATAAAAAACAAATAACCAAGAGCATACAGATCTTTACAGATAGGTCCATCAGAAACAGGTTCTGGTAAAAAGGTGAGTTTTGACTTTGGAGCTCAAGAAAAGGCACAGTCACCAGAAGTCTGGAGTCTGAGAGGTCTGGGTAGAGGGAGCCCACTGCAGCTAGGATCCCCCAGTACAGCGCTGGGAAAGGCTTCCTGGTATTGGAATCTAAATAGCTGATTATCAGTAACCCCCTCAAAAGAAAGTTGTTGTTATTAGTAACTGTAGCAGAACTAATCTATTTTTTCTTCAATCTTTTTTTCTTTCTACTTACTTTCAAGTACTCTTGATATACTTTCTGACAATATACTGTCCTATTGAGAGGAGTTCTATTCTTGGTAAATTGTTACAATCAATGAAAGATAAAGGACAAACTGTACACTGTGTACTGTACAGTGTATCTGTCAAATCAGACGCTTACGAACCCTGGAGAGGCAGGAGAGCGAAAATAGACCCTATGCGTAGCGGCGAGATGGGGTTAGCTCGGGCTCAGCTGTTCTGGAAATGCCGTATAGAAACCTGTCCTCAGGCCAGGGACAGGCGTGACCCGGTGCTAGGCGAGTCTCAGGATATCCGGACCTCAATGCTGAGCGAGGAGCAGAGCAGAAGCAGAAAGTAAATACTGTAGGCTACACAACAAGACACACCAGAGAGACATGAATAATCACAGGGAACTAGGAACAGGAGAGAAGTAGAGCGCCCTGTACTGTAAGTGTACTGGGCGTGACAAGTGTAGATTGTGTTAGCAGCTGAAAAGTGGTTTTCCTTTAAAACAAACCTCTTTGACAACCGACAGGTTTGTGCCTGACCCGTAGTACAAGTCATGGCAAATAAAATCCTTGGAGATCTTTGGCTCCACGAACGAATCGTTAGCAAACACGTCAGAACACGTACATACTGACAGCAGAACTGCCGAAGGCAAACTCAAACAGTAGATTCAATTTTAAAAATGACGAGAAGCTCCGAAGAGGACGATGAACTGAGGAACAGTGTTGGCAATCAATGCAAAATGCTTACGTTGCTCTGTCTTCTCCCTAATCTCTTCGTATGTGGGAGGGGATCCACTTTATATCCACTGGTGAAGTACAGTACAGCCCTCAGTCTCGCTGACAGCAGCCCCCCTGCACAGCAGATCAGGCTGAGAAGTGAGAAATTAATTCACCAAATTACAGTAGTTAAGGGGGAACTTTGGGGAAGCTAAATTAAGTCCAGGGAGGAATTTTACCAGGACACCGTGAGGTTTAAATGAGATGGTACCTAAGGAAATGAAACTCAAGAGCTGGCTGAAATGGTTTTCAGCGCTGGACTGTTTGGACACCGAATTTAATCTTTTCCCCAGAATCAGTATTACAAGGCATGTCGTATAATGTAAACATATTCCTCTCACAAATGTCAAATACGTTATCCGTGTCTGATGTGGCATTTAGCAGTCTGTTATAGATGAAAATCAGGTATATTTCCTCTTGCTCTAAATAGTTTTCTGGGTATTCTGCTCCTACTACTTAGTATTTAAAATAATCTGCTGCAATATGTATCATATTGGGGGGGTAATAGTGTTTGCTCTTGTACAAGGGATTCTTGTACTAAGGTAATAATGTTTGCTCTTGTACTAAGGGATTAATTCAGGATACGTGTTATCTCGCCAGGCCGTTATTTTATTAGTTTGTTTCTTGAGAATCCGGTCCGTCCGTCAGCTGCGAGGCTTGCTCGGGTAGATAATGACAGCGTACTCCGAGCTCGAGCTCAGCTTCCGCGTGGCCTCCAGATGGTGGACGGGGAGCCTGTCCACGGAGCGCGAGCTCTGCAGTGGGCTGCCGGCGGGCTCCTCGTCTCCCCACTCCTGCGGGCAGCGTCCGCCACCACGAAACGGGTAAGGAAGGAACAGATAAAAAGGCTTTTGTGAAAGCCGCCCGGAAACTCCACAACATCCTGTTGTTAAAATATTCTTGACTGATCTGCCAAATTAGATAAAGATTCTAAATTTGACTTTCCTTTTATGAATTCCATTTATGTTATGCTATTTCTTTTGGTCGCATTGGGAAAAAAAAAACCACAAAACACCGTGATTTAATCATGATACTTGCTCGCTTCTGAATACAGTGCATTGAATGAAACGGCCAGGGAAGAGACCCGCCTTTGAACAGTTTAAAATGGACATAAGGGCATATTTCCAAACTATGTCTAAGCATCGGAAATGGAAAGCTGTGCGTACCTTAGTGTACTTAATCTCAGAACTTAATCTTGCATCTGTGTGTACTAAATATAACTTTTTCTGTAACTTGCAGCTGTGTTATGTACCCCTGTTTATGTTATGACGTAAAAAAAAACATTTACAAAATAGAACCTGACAAGAAAAATGAAGATAATGAGCTAAAATCGTCAGAATATGCTTTTAAATTCCAATTTACTCTTGCCATGTGAAAATCTAAGCATTCTGAAGGGCAAAGGAATATCATGAGATTATTAGGATGAAATGTTACCAGTGAATTCAATGCCAGTACTTGCTGGATTAATTCACATATTCTAACAGTCCCTATCCGTCTTTCGTCCTACCATATGTCTTGTCTGAAACATGACTCTTACCTGTCCACCGTCCCCAATGGTCAGCCTTGGGATGTGCCTCAGCTCAGGCGTACTCGTGCCTCGCACAGAAATCAGGATATCAGCGTAGGGCACTTCGTTCACACTGAGACTGTCTGAGAAGCACCCAAGAGACCCCAGAGGTTCAAGTCACTGAAACAAGTCGTGGTGAGATCTCCTCTGACCCCAACACTCCTCTGACCCCAGCTCTCCTCTGACCCCAACACTCCTCTGACCCCAACACTCCTCTGGTCCCCAGCTCTCCTCTGGTCCCCAGCTCTCCTCTGACCCCAGCACTCCTCTGACCCCAGCTCTCCTCTGACCCCAGCTCTCCTCTGACCCCAGCTCTCCTCTGACCCCGGAGAGAGGAGCCTACTGGGCATTTCAGTACACAAGACACAGGAAGAGACACGCTGGAGTGCACAGAGAATTCTGGGTTGGCAATACCAGTGTTTCCTCCAGTCAGGCAGGAGTTTATGAGGGAAGTCAGATTTAATTAAAGTAACTGTGAAAGGCAGCCTCACCCATCTTGCCCATCCCGTTCCTCAGTAAGACTGTTGAACAACTGTACAAGCCGTGTTTACAGTGTACAGGCTGTTGCCTTTTTCAATCAGCAGGAAGAGCTTGTGTTTACCAATACGCAAGACTGAGGGGGGCTGCAGTGTGGCACGGTTGTCAGGGCCCTGGAATCGGAGCTGGGAGGTTGTGGGTTCAAACGGCAGGTGAGATAACTGCTGTTGTACCCTGGAGGAAGGTACTTCACCTGAACTGTTCCAGTAAAATACCCAGCAGACTAAATGAATGCAAATGTAAGTTGCTTTAGACAACAGCATCAGCTAAATATACAAGAGGGATAAAAAGGCAGGTGGCTTGTCTGATGAAAGAGATATAACCATAGTTTCATAACCAGGCTCCATGTGCCCAGTGCTGGGATTAGGGTGTGATAGCGTTGAAAAGGGCATTGAAGGAATATGGTTCTAGTACGAGTACTGGACTAAATCTAGGTATTTTCATAAAATTAAATTTAAACTGAACAAAGTAAACTACTTACCTGTTGCATCTTCTTTTGAGACTGGACTTCTACATATCATAGCATATTCAGCTTAAGAAAGAACGAGACATATTACTCAGTCAGCAATTACTTTTAAATATGAAGCCCTTCTCAACTGTTACTTGTGAAGATGCAGGTAGAATAACTTGTCCTACCTGCTTCCTTACACTGATCTTCAGTGATCCCCTCATTACTTTCCACTCTGTGAAGAAAACCAACACAAACTTTATCTTCTGATTTAGAAACTGGCCGCGGGTCTGCGCAATGTGTCTTAGCTTGCATACATGGAATTCAGTTCCTTTTCCAGAAAATCTCTTCTATTAAGGAGCGTGTGTATACAGTATGAGCTTGCAAGCGTGGTGACTGTTAAATGGTTTAAATTGGTGACTGATTAGCCATTTGTTTTCAATGTTGATCACAGAAATCTCGTGTTTAAAAGAAAACAACAACAACAACAACAACAACAACAACAACAACAACAACAACAACACACATGTGCAATGGTAATTAAGTCATCAGCAGTACCAGCAAATTTAAGACACTGCATAAACACTGACCTTCCTATCTTCTTGGAAGCAGTGAGAATTTTATGTGTGTATCTTAACAAGATTGCTTTACAGATAAGATGCAGTTTGCAGTTCTTTGTGTGAATGTTTGCAGATGGTGAAAGTGCAGCCCTCGGTTTGCAGGGGGTTTCGCAGTAGGAGTGCCACAGTACTGAATTTCAGGAGAAAAACACAGTCAGCGTGGACTGAGCAAATGCAAGGAAGTGGCGAATGTGTGCGTGTGTGAGGGGGAAGGGATTCCTATGCACTTTGCACAGAGGAAAAGTGGCAGGAAGGGATAAGATCATGTCTGGTCACAGTAACAGACTCCGTTTTAACCCCGGCAAAGGCACATTTAGAGTGTGAAGGTCAGCATGGCATCCCACTACATTCCTACAAGAAGTGAGATGTGCTGTATGTGTGGGTTTTACTGCAACAGATGAGAAATTTAAGGGTCGTATCTGGTTCAGTGGAACTCAGAGGGTCCCCTTGGACTGGGACTCACATGTCTGTGAACTAGGGAAGTTAGCTCCGCAGATCAGCTGAATCAGTCATACTTTTTCTCAGCACCATAAAAAAGGAAGTCTGCTGTAAAATACCCAGTTTAATTTCAGAGACGTATTAAAGGGATCAGGGCAGCTGATTTCTTTGGGCCTGGGTTTGTGAATAAATGCACCCTCCTGTGGCAGGAGGAATGTGTACATTGTTCACTCGTCTCCAAAATACGACGGCTTGCCCACTCACGGGTGTTGACAATGTATCGTCAAAATCCTCTGTTTGAGTTGAATCCTTTTAAGAGAGGATTAAACTGAAAGGCATGTGAGAGAAAGGCTGCCTAAATGTGCTCCTGACCTTCTTGCAAGAACATATATACTGAACTGTATATGCGTCACATATAAAACACCTGAAGAAGACCCAACAGCTGAAATGTCTTTCTTCATTCTGCTTTTCAGTTTGGAATTCATCTTACTCCTTCCTATATATGTAACAGATCGATTATCAAAGAAATGAAAACATTGGAGTCTTACCTCTCGGATATAACAATAGATGGCTGACCTGCGACAGATGTGGAGAAAAAACAAATCAATTAAACAGCATTGGAAAGCCCTAAACAATGGAGTTTCTTCTTATTTATCCCATTCTCTGGTTCTTCAGAAGGAATGATACTGGACAATATCTGGGCAAGCATATTTTTTTAAGCGAGTGTGCTATAGGTACCCCAGATCTGAAACAAAGTTACTCACTCTTTTAATAAATGTGATACTTATTGGTCATTAAATTTCAATCATTTGCCCCTTCTATGTTGACAGAACCCTCTTTCAGTTGCCCTAAATGGTGTTGTGGGGGTGATTCCCCCTGGACTTTCTACACTAATAGCTCAGTATGCTGAGCAGGGATGCTGTGGTGTTTAAGAAATGCTCTCCTTCTGTTGAAACATTAAAGCAGATTCCTGATTACTTGTCATTAAAGTGACGGAGGCACCTTTCATAAGAGCAGGAGTGTTAACGGCTGGGTTTGTATAATCTGGCCCCTTTAAATTCTCCCCTTATTTGGACAGGTGAAACAGTCTCTCACTTCTCTGCTGTGTGGTGGGGCTACTGGTCTCCTGTATGGCTGTCTCCTGTCACCCAGGTGGGGGCTGCACGTCACATCAGCAGTGGATGAGATGTGAAACACTTTATGACCCTCTGAGATAAAACTAATCCCAGAGTTCCCACACCTGCCAAAACCACAACAGGTCCCAATCCTACTGGGAGAGGGAGGAGGGAACTCAGTTGATCTGGCAGCCCAGTATGTGATCTCCTGTCACAGCCTGAGGAACAGTGAGTCCGTCTCCCAATAATGCTCCAGCCGCCTACAGTATATGTCGATATTATATAATATGTCTTTGTTGTAAATGTCTGTAACATGTCTGTAGATTTTATTTTACTTCTATTTTTTGTTTTGTTCTATGTTAATTTTATTATTTTTATTTGCTTTGGCAACACTGATTGTACCCATCGGTCATGCTAATAAAGCACCTTGAATTGAATTGAATTAAAAAGACACTAAAGCTGGCCACTCGGCTAATACTGATGTTAATCATTAAGAGTGAACAAATATTAGAAGAAGGAAGAGGGATAATTTAACAAAGCACGTGTTTTGGGTAATTAATTTAAGATAGATTTTTTCTCGTGAGAACTTGTGTATTTGAGAACTTATTAATGTCTCTGCAGCCCTCCGGATTCACCAGACTGACGTGAACAGGCTGTCCGTCCCCACCGGGCCGCAGTAAGTGCTGTGATGACTGCAGTAGCTCACCTTTCCACTTTCTCCTAGTGTTCAGACAGAAGTAAACAGCCACCACCAGCAGCACAGTTGCCACGGTTACTGCTCCAGCCGCCAAGCCTTTCAGCCAGTTGTATTCACCTATGAACAAGGACAGCCATAATAATAATAATAATAATAATAATTGCTTACACTTATATAGCGCTTTTCTGGACACTCCACTCAAAGCACTTTACAGGTAATGGGGATCCCCTCCACCACCACCAGTGTGCAGCCCCACCTGGATGATGCGACGGCAGCCATAGTGCGCCAGAACGCTCACCACACATCAGCTCTCAGTGGGGAGGAGAGCAGAGTGATGAAGCCAATTCATAGAGGGGGATTATTAGAAAGCCATGATTGGTAAGGGCCAATGGGAAATTTGACCAGGAGGCCGGTGTTACACCCCTACTCTTTTCGAGAAACACCCTGGGCCATGAGGTCGATAGCACTCTTCTTCACAGCTCTCCAGTTGGGCTAGGCCCTTATTACAAGACCAGCTTCTCCATCTTGCAGACGTCAACTCCTCTCCGGAGCCAATGAGATCACAGCACTCACAGGTGAGCTGTAGTATGACAGCTGGGAAGTGTGCTGTCTGGGCAATGCTGGATTGCACCCTCTCTCCCCATCAATGGCACTGTCATTAAAAATCCCAGGGTGTTTCTCAAAAAGAGTAGGACTACCCCGTTGTCCTGGCCAAATTTCCCCCTGGCCTTTACCAATTATGGCCTCCTAATAATCCCCATCTCTGAACTGGCTTCATCTCTCTGCTCTCCTCCCCACTGAGAGCTGATGTGTGGTGAGAGTACTGGAGCATCATCGTGGTGGGGCTGCACACTGGTGGTGGTGGAGGGGATCCCTATTACCTGTAAAGCGCTTTGAGTGGAGTGTATAAGAGTTATTACAGGATTATTAAGGCCAGGCAACACAAGCAAGTCATCAATCCACTCTGAGATACAGTACTGCACTGACCTGGTCTCTCAACCACAACCCGCACAGAGATGTTGGTTTTTCCATAGGAGTTAGATACAGAGCACCAGTAGACTCCTGCGTTTCGCTCCTTTAAGTTGTTCAAACTCAGTTGGCCATCCAGAGAGGGAATCTGATGCCAGGACAGATCGCTACCTTCCCTGGCCCAATCTACCTCAGATGCGGGGTTGCTGTCAGCCTTGCAAAGGAGCTCCAGATGAGAGTTTGCGTTGGTCCTTATGACACTAGAAAGGACAGGAAGCTCGGTGCTGCCTGCAGAGTCAGCACGAAGGTGAAACACCTTTATTGCTAGAGGACCATCTGGAACAAAAGCATTAGAGTTAAAACAAGGTTTGCTGTGACGTTTCAAAGGCAGCTGAGGGCTGAGATGGGGAAGCACCATACTCACAGTTCACATTTAGAGTGATATTGTCTACCACAGGCTGACTTGCTGACATATGAAAGACATGACAGGCAACGACGGATCCGTGATGTGAGGCCAGGAGTCTGATGGTCATGTTGCTGATGGAGACAAACGTGCCATCATTGCTTGTCCAGACGCTCCTCTGAGGATCTGTGCCAACAACCGGTGATCCGTTGTGGAACCACTTCACAGTGACATTCCCAGGATAAAAGCCTTTGGACACGCAGCTGAAATATGCCATGCTGCCAGCAACCAGCTCCCCCTGGGGGCCAACCACCTGGGCACGGGGCCGAGCTGAGAGAGAAGACAGTCGCTATTGTCAGTTGCAGTCTGATAAGTGCACGACCTTGGCGGTAAAGCCTGTCTAGGGACAGGTGCCCCACCCCACTCAGACAGTTCCTGTCAAACTCTAATTTGAACACCCGAGACATTGATGGAAGGAGTGAAAAAAAAAAACATTGACCAGGCAAGTGCATTGCACATTGGTGGTGGTGGAGGGGATCCCCATTACCTGTAAAGCGCTTTGAGTGGAGTGTCCAGAAAAGCGCTATATAAGTGTAAGCAATTATTATTATTATTAA